AAAAGCATGTAAAGGTCTCTAAAAGACTGGACTGAACCACTCTGAAGAAAAATAAAATGTGGGTATGAGTCTGACAACAAATTTTGGCAGCTGTCACAAGCTGTCCCATTGCCTTCATAGCTGACATCACTAAATACATCTTGCTTAACATAACCAAATCATAAAGCAAAAATGTTTATTGTCAACAAAGCATTTTTTTCCTCTAAAATGACATGCCATCATTAGCATCCATGCTGCTAGCTTTGAATGATGTGTTACCTACTGTTCTAGCTACTGAGCAGAGAGAAAAATGGGAGAGAAAAGGTTCCCTGCAGTTCTGAATTGATCCTATAGTCTGCCCTGGCACACAGAAGGAAAAACTTTTCAGACATGAAAATTGATTCAGGCCTTTCAGTCTTCAGTTTCAACCACCAGATGACTTCCACTTTGTCTGGAAGTCCCTTGGGCTGATTTAGAGGCTGAGGTGCTCATGTCTGCTGGAGATGGTTCCATTAGTAAGTGTCTCTTCATTATTAAGAATGACTCCTTCCAGATCAAGCTGTGTGTCTTGACAGAGAGTGCTGTTGGCAGCAGTAAAGGACTGATTCAAAACCTAGGAGCCCTTAATAAAATTACAAAATAAAACTAAATACATACCAGAAATCCAAGAGGAAAAAACTCATCTGCTCTGGGCACTTAAATAAATGATTCTTTCATGCTACAGCACTAAGTTGGCGTGTCAAACTAAACTGATTGTTACAGACCTTTAATTCTCAAACACAGCACTACTTAGAATAAAAGAAATGGAAAATTCAGAGTACACAAAAAGGTAGAGACAGCCCATTTTCTTACAGTTCTTAGAATCAGGGTGTTTTGATTCTTTTTTCCACCTATCTCTCTACTAAATCACTTAGTGGAAAAATACAATTTTCTATTTCTCATTTCTTTCTTTGTGGCACACCCAGCCATGGCTTGCTGTCATCAGTAAAAAATCCCACTGGCCAGTGGTACTGAACAGCAGCTTTACTTGATAGGGGAAATAAGTACCTGTCTTCTGCAAAAGACTCTTATTCTAGCTTCAAGCCATGAAATAACATGCAATTTCTGCACTCTTTCCTCCAAACATAACATGGCCTTTCATATCATCCAGTCATGTGGTTGTCAAGCACAGAAGTCCTTTTTACTCTTTTGTCTTCTCCTACTGTTCACAAAAAGCCAAATATCTTTGCAATGAAAGGTCTCACATTTGGCTGTATCCTGAGAGAGCTGTGTAATCTCTCACCAGCATCCTGGATTCAGGATGTCCGCTCTCACTGAACCATGAAGGCAGCTTAACAACAAACTAGATTCTTCAAAATACTGTTTGCATATAAAAATGCCCAAAAAATCAATGGACTGCTTTTCCTCAACAATATATTTCTTTCTGAGGGTGCAATAAGTACTGTCCTTTTCTATCTGTATAAATAGTTTTATATACAGCTCAGGCACAATAAATAAAAAAATACAGTAACCTAGTCTTTTTTTTCCAATTACCTAATCAAATTATCTTCTTTCTTTACTGGTTATGGTAGAGAAAACTACTTCTTATTCTGAAACCAGAGAATACAACCAATTGCACAGTGCAAGGGAGACTAGGTAAGAAAGAGCCTCATTTCCCAAGAGACATTTTTTAAGCCCTATTTATAAAACAATGAGGTTATAAATGAACTAGCAAGAAAAAAACTGGAATTTAAATTATATTTGAATAAATATTTGGCTTCTCCTTTGGCAAAAGGTCTGTCAAGAAAAAAAAGAACATTCATAGATACAAAGCAGTAGCTTGTGCAGTGGGTTACATTCCGAGTTTCTTAGTTTTCAGGCCTCTCTGAAAGATTGCTTTCTTTTTGCCAGCCAGGCCTTTGATATGTTTATCATGCATTTAAAGCTATTTATGGATGGATAAATAATCCTGTCTAAACCGATTAGAAAAAATTAAATCAATCCACAGCGTCTACTATATTAAATCATGTACTCATTAGGAAACATTTCTGGAACACCAAACCCACCCATTAACAATCCTAGTTGGGGGAAAAAAGACGGGTAGAATCACAGACAAGTTCTCTTTCTCTCATTTCTGTGAGAGAATTTAACAAGCAACTGTTTTCCAGCAGTTGACCGTGAAATGGATCATGTTTTATTTATTCTGCACAAATGGCAAATCACAGCAAAGTGTAGCCTTGGGATTAATCAGTGGGCTTTTATCACTGGGGCACTGGTTGGACTTTGGTTCCTCTCAGAGTACCTACAAATCACTCTGATTAAATGCCTGTCTGAAACATACATAATTTGACTTTGCTAGCTTCAGGCATAATACAACTGGAAGACTGTATAAAGGGGATGAGCTTCTACAGGGTGGGTCACTAAGGCTTGATATAAGGGGTGAAAATCAGTGTGTCTGAGAGAAGGCTAATGGATAACAGCCAGCAATGCTGTAAAAGTCTAATCTAGGGTGGGGAACAATGTTCCAGAGCCTTGAAACACTTAACTGTCCCATTTCCTGGAAAAAAGGCCTGGCACATTAACAGCTGAGTGCTGGTGGTAGTGCTGGGGATTTCACAAATTGCAGCTTTCCCATCTCCACCCAGCAGAAGAAAAAGAACTACTATGGAGATGAATCAAAATTCAACACAAATGTTACTGGAAAATTTATATTGCTTCTAATTGATGTAATGATATCAGCTCACTTCTGTATGGCAGGCAGGAGCACCTGGTCTAATGAATCTACCCTGGAGATGTTCAAGCTTGCAGCTTCAGACATATGTCAAAGTCCCATTGCTCTTTCTGGGAATGTAGGCAGAAGAGGACCTTAACATTTAACGATCCTGAAAATAGATATGTATTTTCTGGTCCCATTAAAATATCCCCAAATTTGGCCCAACATGAAACCATCCTGTTTCAGAGATGCTGAAGTTCTATCAAGGAATTGAGATTTTTCTACATTCCATTTACATTGTAAATCTCCCTCTCCACCAATGGGAGGTTCAAATCTCACTTGCTTGATTTTCCAGTTCCCAAATCCAGAAGCATCTCTACACTACCTGCAGAATAGATGTCCCTGCTGTGGTGCTGTGCAGCTCTCCATTATGACTCTTCCCACAGAGCAGTGATTTACTGCTGCTACTGTCAGCGAAAGCAATACTAGTTGCAATCTGATAGTAACTGCATCAACACAAAATAACAAAGGCTGTAAATCTAGCCCTGAAGCTTTGGATTCAAACCCTACATAGCATGCCATGTGTCAAAATGGTTTATTGAAATAGTATGTACTTAATTATTTGAAATGTGCTTCATCTGATTGCTACACAATACACAAATTTGCAGAGTCCATTTCTGGCATTTGGGTTTCCTGACTTGGCTGTATATGATTTTCCTGCTTACACATACAGATCCTATACTGTCCATGAATTATAAAAAAATACCTTGGGCTCAGTCTGGATATGAGGTATATATTAATGTAAACCATTTTCATTTGGAAAAGTAAGTATTACAGCAATATTACTTATTACCTCCTGCATGAACATGATAGATGTGCTTTTTCTTCCCTTTGAATATTACTCATTTGATTCCCTTAGCCTCTTGTCAATACCCATATTCACAGCAGCTGCTTCTGTTCACTGAGCAGAAAGAAAAAGTATTTTTCTTTGAAGATGATGTGAACACTGTTTAATGAATCATTCAGCAAGTACTACTGCAGCTCAGTCATCCTACAGGCCATATTAGACTCAGGACCCTTGAATCTATAGCCAAAATAAGCCTTAGTATAGAATGTCTTCTGTAGTTGAGATAAGCAGTAGCTTGCAAAGTATTAAGGGAAAATCCTATACTCTGATCTGAGGTATATTATAATAGGATCTACTTAATATTCAATAGAGCGCTTTCAACACACTTTCATTTTAAATACAATTAATGTATTGAAATCTCATATTTATCTCTCTGGAGAGCCTAAGAATATTTTCTCCATTGTACTGCAAATGGAAAAGAATCCTTCGGTGTCCTGACACATTCCTTTGGAGATTTTCAGCGCTTTAAATCAAAGCACCAAAACAAGAGTTTATTGTAGCAACCCAGAGGGAAGCATCATCTCCAATATCCTGATTCTCCGCAGCTGCTCATTCAGCATGGATGCAAGCTGGCTATTAACACTAACAAATGTGGACTTCCTTTGGAAGAAAGACTATCTATATGTCCACACTGCATAATCTTTACATGTAAGTGTTATCCATAAAAATGTAGGAGAATTTATATCCAGATGCATACCTACTCATATATTCTCAAATTTTATATGGATGAAGTTTTCATTACAGGGAAAAAAAGCATGAAAGGTGACAAAAAGCCATCAAGCTGAAGAGTAAAGTGTTCAGAACAGGCAATAACAAAAGTCTTAATTCAATTCCACTGGACATAGAGGTTATGATATTGCTATAAATTATATGCATAGAATTTTTCAATTGGACTCCTGTCTCATTTCCACTTGGCATAGAGCTCAAGGAGCGAGTTTTTATAATCCCTTAGTTATTTTTACCCTAATTTTGGCCCTTGGCCTTATTACTTACACAACAGTCTTTCCTATGCTGACTATAGAGCAGCTAATTTTCTCCTGTTTTTTTCTACAGTATTCCCCCCTACACACCTCAGCTACTCCAGTTAATTTTTTTACTGTCCCTATTTTTCAGGCAAAGCAACAAAAGTACAGCAGCAGAAGTGAAAACCGCAAGAATTTATATCCTAAATTGATAACACTAACTTTTATTTATTTGCTTATATAGCCTTTTAAAAAACTCTGTATTTCAAAGCAAAAATCCCGTAGACATCAGCTGTGGTTGTGAGAGTTCAGCACTTTTATAACACTGAGTTAGGTTTGTAGAAAATAAGAGCTATAATAAGTGACAACTTATAAAAATCTAAGAAACTTCCCCAAATTATTTTGTGGCAGATGCAGGAAAAGACTACAAGTGATAAGAATGGCATTTAGTTGCTTTTTCCATGACATCATTCTCCTAATAAACCCTTCATTCTTTCACCACACACCTCATTTTGCAACAGTGAATGATACCATTTTTATTCTATGTATTTAATGAGGCTAGAGCATTTTGGAGGAAAAAAAGCATGTAATAAAATAGTGCATTATGGTGTTTATGCACATGAATAACAATTTAAGATTGCAGAGAATACCAAATACAGTATTCTTAACTTTTGGCTTCCTAAGTTTTACAACATTACTATTGGTTTAATGTATGAAATCACAGTAAAAGTGCCTAGGCTATTAATATAAATGTCTTTATGCAGAACAATACTTAATAGTGAGAGCTCTAGATATAGTTTATTACAAGCTTCTGCTGCTTGAAATAATGATGCCAAAGAGGTAGCAGGCCATTATTTCTTAGGAGACCAAACTGTGTGTTTAGAAGACCTTTAAAGTAGATTTCATAACCATTACTAGTACTAGAGGATGCTAAAATTAAGAACTCTCCAGTGTTTTTCAAATGTTTCAGGTTTCAGGAGGAATATACTCTAATTTATTGCTTCCTTCTGTACTTTTTAATCTTTTTTTCACACTTGGCATGATGCATGATATGTGTAAAGGGAAATTGCAGAAGTTCTGATCAATCAGTGTAATCCTGGGACTACACGTATTCAAGGACATTGGGGCAGACTGAATTAATGCTAACTGCAGCTTGAGTAGTGTATCTTTCACAAAATTAAAAATATTAGATCTTCATACAGAAAACAGAACCACAGATTTTGCCAGCAGCACTGCAAGTAAAGAATCAAGCATTCTACTTAATCTACAAAAATTAAGCAATCCAGTGTAGGAAAACAGAGAGGAATGTTTTAGTATACCCAGACTTAGTTACTTTGGGATTTCATCAGAGATGACATCCAAGTGATTTAATTCCAATTCCGAAGTAGCACTACATCTTAGATCTTGGAAGAAAACTTAGACAGGAATAAGAAAACACCTTGCAGAAGAATTCCCTTGAGAGATAAAGAGAGCAGGAAAAAGAAAGCAAAAGAGAGCAAGGCTTGCCCATATTTCTGATAAAACATATCAGAATTAATTCAAAATTTCTGCAGTTTATCCATTGGTATTCAGGATAGATTTATCAAGAGGGCGGACATTCTTAACTCTTGCAAATAAAAGACTTTTCAGGTACGTATCTATGCTGAATGAAGAATATGGATGGTGCCATATTTTAACTCTGGTACTCCAAAAACATATTAGATTATCACAACTTAACTGAAATCAGAACAAACAGGATATTTGATAGATTGTTAGAACATAATTCAAATGCTTCTGTTCAGAGAAGCATAGAACTTCATGTAATGAGACGCATGAGTTTTCTAATAAAACCATACATCTCACACAGAAAACAATCTACCTCTACTTCCATGTACATAAAACATCCATCTTAGCAGCTGGAGAATGCTGCCAGGCAGTGATGTGGGCCATAAGGAGCTTAGCAGTTGCATTCCTTTCCTGCCTCTCCCCTGCAAATACTCTTGTACCCTGTTAAGCAAAGGAAAACAGACAGATTGTAAGACAAGCCATGGGGCAGTAAGTATTTTCTGATGTAGAAGTATGTCTTTAACAAATGGAAACTAGTGGCATGATACTCAATACAACTTTATTTTCCTAAGTTATAGACGCATCCTAAGTAGGATTACAAAAAAAAAAATCACAAGAATGTGATTGATACTAGCACTCGTCCCAACTAACAGCAATGAGGAAATTACCCATTCCACTCAAAGGCACTGAGATACTCTGCCATGCATTACTATGTTTCCTGAAACCTGTAGTCTGCAGATATGTGTATTATAGATGGAAACACAATCCCAAACTCAGCAGGGGCACTGTCTCTTGCAGAGACAAAATGCAGACCACCAGCCCCTCTATTAAGGCAAAATCTTCCTGCTTACTTACAGTTATCTGGCTGCTCTGTGCAGGGGTTGCTCCTATTCCATACCAGTTTGCTTCCAGCACCCTCAGGACCAGGCTGAAGAAGGAAGGGCTGCCCTGCTTGGAGTGGCTGGTCAGTACAAGCTGCTCCTGCCCCAGTAGCAGCGGCTCCCACAGCTCCTGTAGGTACCTGCATAGGCACTGCCTGCCAGGGGACCAGGGTAGAATGAAGCTTTTCAGGATAGAAGAATGGTGGCCTGGTGTAGAGCCTCCCATGCCCATTTCAAACACTACTTACAGACAAGTTCAGCTGGCCCTGAATCTCCCTCTCCCTCCAGATGGTGATTATTGCCCACACGTTGGTCTCAAGCCATGAGGCAGCACGATCAAGGAAGGCCTGTAGCGAGATGTTCGCAGTTGAAAAGAAGCAGAGCCAATCATTGCAGAAGGAGCAGACAGCTGAGAGAACAGCATGAAGCTGTGCTTCATGGTCTGAGCAGTGCTGCCTGTACAATTAAGCAGCTTCCAACAAATATGACCTCTGTTCAGCTGACTGCAGAAAGCAGACAAAAAGTATCCTCCCCAGGAGTAACTGCTCTGTTCTGCTACAACAATGCAGAAATTGGCTCTACCTTAGGGGTTGTTCCACCACTGAAACCTGCTCACCTTTATAAAGCACAGCAGAAGACTTCACAGTAGTTTTTACTCAAAATCTAACCCAACTGGAAACGTGCTTATTAATAGAATGACCCTCCATGTACAGCTATAACGTGTAAAAAGATCTGATCATGGTCAGATGCTGGACTGGCATGGACAAGGCTAAGGAGTAAGCAAAGCATTGTCACTGTTGCTTATGTCCATATCACAGGAAAGGCAGACAGACATACAGGTTTAAACACAAAGGCCTGCAAGTACTCTGATCACAGCCCAGAGAACTTCATCCATCTCCCACAAACACAATTTCCACTTCAACGTTTACCAGTTCCGTTGTTCAGGTGAAATACCATTGACGTCACGATACTGTTCAAGACTTTGCTTATGAATCTATTTAATTTTAAATTAAGTGCAGGGCCAAAAGCTTGAATTCAACCTATACCTACATAGATGGGGCATTAAGAAAGAAACGAATCCAGATTGGTTTTTTCTAAAGTTTGCATTGTAGAAAAAGTGCACAGCATTTTGCACTTATAGTATGTCTTCAGCCAGGTGTTAATCTCAAGTACTATGGATAACTTGCAATGCCTGCTACTTGTTCTGGATGTGAAAAAAAAGTCATATTTTGTCCATCATTGCCATTTTAGTCCACATTGCATCAAAACTGCTGCTCATAGCATGGCAAAGAATCAGGAGAGAAGAGACAGATGATGGTGACTGTGAAGGCTGGCAGCAGGTGACAACTGAGAGATAAGAACAGACCCATGTTACCCTACCAAGACATTAAATGTCACAAGACATGAAAAAAAGAGAAACATAAAAAGCCCCCAAAGCATGAAAACTTAATGAAAGAGAGAAAAAAGAAAGGTGTGACAAATCAAAAAGACACTAAGAATGGCCCAAAATAAATTCTAGCAAAACAAAAGTGGTTTAATTTCACATTTGAATTCTTAAATCAGAAGTAATTTTGAGTACTGATGCAGTGAGTACATTAATACTGTATGCATGTCTTTGATTATCAGGGCATTTTTAACTACATACAAAATTTTAGACTATCATTTGTCTTTGTTTAAACAATTAGGACTGGATTCCCATCCATGTTCAAAGTTTGTTCAGATCTGACTGTTACACAAAAAAATGAAACTTCCTAATATCTATACTTCCTTTATTATACAACTTATGCCCTTTCCTCAGAAAACAAGACAGAGAGCTGCTGATAAGCCCTACCTTCCAATGTCAGGTATATCTGAAGTTGTCTGGTGTTCTATTTAAGGACTCCATCAGTTAACAGCCCCACACCACCTGCCATCAATCACCAGAAAACAGTTTAGAGAGCAAGGATGGCTTAGGCATTTTAAAAGTGACTAGAATATATTCCAACCTTTAATGTATTTTATGCTACAATTTATTCTAAGATTCTTGCTGTACTTTATATCTAAAAAAAGAAGCATCTCAAATAAAGGTCACTTACTCTAGGAAGCCCCTGGTGGGGCCATAAACTGAGTGGTGACCACTGAATATACACCTCCTTATCCAATGCATTATGTGCAGTACGTGATGCAGTATGATTCAATAGAAGCTTTTCTCACTGCAAGACACAGTATCTGTTTCTATGGAATCAGATTCCACTTTGTGCAGACTTCATTTCAAAATACAGTTTGTGCTTTTCTGAATAAACAGGTTTGAATTAGGTCCGTAACTCAGCCTTTATAAATTTAACTATAGCACATAATAGGATTATTTACCACTTTTATAAAGTGACAAGTGTCTGCTACACAATATTTGGGGAATTATACAGTTTGAATGCCTTCGGTTAAAAGCGAGCCTCCAGTCTCCATATTTTTATAAGATCAAAGCTAATATTTCTCTGTTTATCCCCCATTCAGAAAGATGATGTCAAATCTCAGCCAGAGTTTTTTTTTTCATTCAGACTTTAACAGCCATGATTATTGCCTATCACAGATAGAACTGCTGGAAGCTGTTTAGAACAATCCTCATGCAGCTTTCACTTTCATTCCCTATGCATTCTTCAAAATGCTGTGAAGGATGCCAGGGTAACTCATTTCCCATCCAGAAGGGAGCTCAGGCCAAGGCTATCCCACAACCTCCAATTCTTATAGCTGTGATAGAGACCCCCTCAATAGTTCATATACCATAAATCTGTATTTGTTTCTGCAAGGATTCTCTGCAAATACAAATCAAAGAGATGAAGCAGGTTAAGTGAGATCCTACATTTGCCTCAAAATGACTACCCTTTGCTCCCCCATAGGTTCCAGAAACACAGTACTCCAGTTGGAGGGACTTACAAAGGGTGGGGAGAAGGGCAGGTGATGAAATTAAATACCTTTTTATACTCCATGCAGAAGGGACTCTTTTTTTTTCCTTGCACGAGTCTAAGGAGAGGTGGCAGCATTCCATGTCATGTAAATTTTAGCTGAACAAATCTCCCAAAAGGGTGGAAATGATCCCTTAGCCCGCTGAGACTAGATTCCCACAATCACGGGCAAGAGTACTATAGATATCTTATTCACAACATCTGTTCCAGACAACACCATAAATCATGTATTTCACACACATAAAAACACCCCCACAGAAATTTAATATGCAAAAGGAACAGAGGAGAAGAAACTAAGGTCCATGAAATGGAACTGGATTATTTAGATAACACTTTGAGCAAATCTGTGAAAGCTCATGACTTATATTACAGAGCACTGCAAAAAACAAACCAAACAGCTAAAAAACCCAAACAACAACAACAAAATATCCACAAAAATCAAACAACAAACAGCTGTACCATTTTCAGAGCAAATTTCCTGCCAAGCCTAAATAAGACAATGACAGTCTAAACAAAACCAGACCAATCAGGTAATAATTTGGTGTCACAGCGAGCAGCCATATACCCTGGTTTCAGCTCCTCTCTAGCTGAAACTATTCTAGCTGACTCAGGGTACAACAGGAACAAGCTTCAAGAGAGGCACCCACTGCAACAGCCCTATGCCTCACTGGGAAAGGGGCAGGAGAAATCCCTCCTGACCCACAGAAGAACATCAAGAACTCTATGTCCCCTGGTGCACAGGGATAATAAAACATAAATCCTCAAAATTATTCCAGTTATTCAGATTCCTTTCAAGGAAGAAAACCCTTCAATCCAGGAAGATAACCTCTCTTTTCCAAGGGAAAACAAACAAACAAAGTCAGATAAGCAGGGACCCACAACAAATTTCTTGTGTCAGAAATGTTCTCTTCTGGTTATACAATTATATTTCCATAAGATGATCAAGACTCATTTAAAATATTTGCCTTCACAGTACTGGCTGGAAATGTTGATTTGCTGGAGGGTAGGAAGGCTCTGGAAATGGATTTGGAAAGACTGGATCCATGCCCCAAGGCCAAATATATTGAACCTCAGTTCAAAAAAGTAAAGTGTCAGGTCCTGCCCTTGGGTCACAACAACCCCAAGAACCCTTGCTTTTATCAGGAATAGTGCAGCCAACAGGACCAGGGCAATGATTGGCCCTCTGTACTCATCACTGGCGAGGCTGAACCTCAAATCCTGTGTTCAGTTCTGGGCCCCTCACTTTGAAAAGGACATTGAGGTGCTGGAGTGTGTCCAGGGAAGGACAATGGAGCTGATGAAGGGTCTGGACCACAAGTCTTGTGAGGGGCAGCTGGGGAATCTGGGAGCGTTTAGCCTGGAGAAAAGAAGGTTCAGGTGACCTTATTGCTCTCTACAACCACCTGAAAGGAGGCTGTAGGCAGGTCAGGATCAGCTTCTTCGCCCAGGTAACCAGAGACAGGATGAGGGGAAATGGCCTCAGGCTGCACCAGGAAGAATGCTGGACATTAGGAAGAATGAACTGAAAGGGTGGTCAGGCTTTGAAACAGGCTACCCAGGGAAGTGGTGGAATTGCCATGCCTGCAAGTGGTGTAAAAGGTGTGCAGATCTAGCACCTGGGGACACAGTTTGTTGGTGAATACTGTGGTGCCAGGTTAATGGTTGGACTTGATGATCTTAGAGGTCTTTTCCAAACTTAAGAATTCTGTTATTCAGAAGGCCAGGATTCAAGTGTTTCCAAGTTTTGCTTTTTCAATAGTTTGCAGGATTTTGGCCAGAATCATTAGGATAGTTTTTATCATGTACTAGCAAATATTTTATCAAATGTCTTGGAACTTGAAATGTGTCTCAAATCGACTTACAAAGGTACAGGGAAACAATAAAATGGACTACTGAAAGTTCAACAAAATTAATTCCTTCCTAGGGCTTTGGTGGTAAAATAACCCTGAGATTACCAAGTCTTCTGATGAAACTGTCATTACGGTTCCCTACACACATAAAATATTCTCTGTAAAAAACCCCCAAGTTTCTAAAAATTGGTTACGTACTTGTAGACAGAACAAAAAGTATAAATGTCACTTCATATAGTCATTTTAGCACAGAATATGGTGTACTGATTTTAATGTCTTGAAATATGCAAAGTAAATGGATTTTTTCTAACTATACATCACAGACATGCAAGATATGTAACAGCTGTACAAATCAATGAAATGTCAGCTAAGATCTGATCTGTGTGCAGTGGAGTTTGTGACAAATATGAAAATAATGGTACTCCTGCCTTTATATGTTCCATTAGGCAGATATGTAGAATATCTATTTTGGTATAATTTAATGTACAGAATCAAAATGTGAAAAATTAACCACAGTAATGCTGCTGCTGAAAAGATGAGCCTTTACTTTCC